TTGCCTTAGACTAGTGCCCTAGACCTGGAAAAGGCCCCAGACACCTGTTTCTAGATTTTATTCCCCAGGGGACCATTCCTGGTCTGACATCTTCGACACTTGGGATGGTTGTTAACAACCCCTCCCCGGTTTATGTGAAATTATTGAAACGTGTCAACCTTGAACTTGGCCGCCCTGTCAGGGCAAAGGTTAGTAATAGCGCAGGCGCAGAGGGCCCAGTTTTAGTATATAGAGATGGCAATGTAATGTAGAGTGTAAAGAAGTCTTTTTCTAGGGAAATGTTGTTGTTTTGGACTTGGATGTTATAGGTAAGGGTTGTAGTATTTTAATTTTGGTGAAAAAACAGACTTGCAGCCATGTTTGTGTTGTCTGGCTGGCTGAAGAAGATATAGGATTACATGCGGTCATCAGCTGTCCAGAGAGGTCAGGGGTCACTTCTCAATGTTTGGGTAGAATTCTCGCATGGTTTAGGTGCGTAGGATTTTGTCATTTTTTGGGAATGGAGACTTGAGAGGTTGGCCTACCCTGCCAATGTATGTTCTTCAAGGTCTAAAACTCAGGTATATGAATGTTGACCACGTTGTTTTGACATAATTCCCATATATTAACATAGGAAAGCCCTATTACTGTGCTGTGCCCTGCACCCATTTGAGGAGGGGGTCCAGATAGGCTGTAAGGGCTTATATTTCCCTGAAATCAGTTATTTGGGCAAGGAGCAGGCATCAGCTGACTCACTGGACCCAGATTTTCCATGAAATTTTTAGATTTTTAGTGTTTTTAGCCATTTTTAATAGTTTTCTGTATTCTTTATTGACAATGCAATATACTGTCCCTAAAATGCTAAAAGGCTAACTTGAATGCAACTTTAGGGGCCTGGCATGAGGAAAGATAGCTTCCTTATGCCAGGGTGAGCAGCTTTTGACTTTTCCTTCTGTTTTTATTACTTTTTGCTCATTATTATGGGCCTCGCCAATTGCCTTAGACTAGTGCCCTAGACCTGGAAAAGGGCCCCAGACACCTGTTTCTAGATTTTATTCCCAGGGGACCATTCCTGGTCTGACATCTTCGACACTTGGGATGGTTGTTAACAACCCCTCCCCGGTTTATGTGAAATTATTGAAACGTGTCAACCTTGAACTTGGCCGCCCTGTCAGGGCAAAGGTTAGTAATAGCGCAGGCGCAGAGGGCCCAGTTTTAGTATATAGAGATGGCAATGTAATGTAGAGTGTAAGAAGTCTTTTTCTTGGGAAATGTTGTTGTTTTGGACTTGGATGTTATAGGTAAGGGTTGTAGTATTTTAATTTTGGTGAAAAAACAGACTTGCAGCCATGTTTGTGTTGTCTGGCTGGCTGAAGAA